AGAGGTCTCCATTTAGCCTATTTTCAAATGCTAAAAAGGCGTTCTGGTACACGGCTTTTCCCAAAACGACCAGTTTGGCCTGAAAGAGCATTGTTTCCTCTTTAAATTAATGAAATAAACTTTTTAGCTAAATAAAACTGCGTGCGCTGAGATAGCGAACTAAATGCAGCACTTCTGCCTGAAAACGTGACCTTTGACCCAAGCGTAACGAAACCGATTTAATACTGCAAGAAAAGCAAACGTTTCGTTATTTTGAAACATTTTCTAATGATATCTCTCCGAAACCATTATTGCAAGAAAAACCTCCAGATATGACATCTTACAGGGTCAAAGAAGGAGCTAAACGGTGCATTTTGATACAATAACTTTGTTTGCTGAGAATTCAAGTCAATGACCGTTCACGAATTCGAGTGAAATTTGCGAACTTGAAGTATGTTAGCCGATACGTACCTGAATATTTACACTTCTAGCAGAATCGTATATAGATGCAAAGTGAAATTTGCTGTCTTCATGAAGAGTTAGAGGCTAGAGTCAAGTTCCGTTACCTTTAATTAAAAAGTGCTTGATTTTACTTTGTTCACACAGTAGTTACTGTCACTTTCGAATACTGCGTATCAGTCACGCCAAAACACTGCGGACCATGCCTACTGAGTAAGTTTCCCACACAGAGTCTTTTGCGCGCTTGTCTATCGAATCGAAAGTCACACACTGCACTTGTGCAGCCTGTAGATAAATGACGAACACTATATGTAAGTTATATTGAACACTATTTTGTAACTAGAGCACCCTAAAAATAGATCAAAATTAAAGGCCCAAACAAGTGTCTGCAGTCTGCACGGTCTGCAGTGTTCTGGCGTGACCGATTCGCGGTATTCGAAAGTGACAGTAACTACTGTGTGAACAAAGTCGACGCAAACAAATAAAATCAAGCTTTTTTAAAAAGTAATGGAACTTGACTCTAGCCTCTAACTCTTCATGAAGACAGCCAATTTCACTTTACATTTGTGGGGATTGTTTATTTTGGGGTTGCCTATGGAAACCTGTCAGAGGAGTTCAGTTGGTTTTACGACAGACATGCGGTCGGCATGTACTTGGAATTTATAGCAGCGGGCAGGTCACGGAACATTAAAAAAATCTTCTTTTAGAGGTTTCCAAAGCTGGATCCAGCTTCTTTTGAAGGCTAATCCAAATAAATATTCGGGTAAGTATCGGCTAACATACTCCAAGTTCGCAAATTTCACTCAAATTCATTAACGGTCATTGACTTGAATTCTCAGGACACAAAGTTATTGTGTCAAAATGCGCCGTTTAGCTCCTTCTTTGACCCTGTAAGATTTCATATCTGGAGGTATTTTCTTGCAATAATGGTTTTGGAGAGATATCA